GGATTGCACAGAGAATAGCAGACGCACAGTGGCTGTGGCCTAGTCCAGATTAGCCCCAGGGCTTGTGAGCACACACAGCTGCGGGCAGCAGGCCCCACGGGGCAGCATTGCTCTCTGCCGAACACGTCACAGTCACACTCAGCAGGAGACTTGAACATCCAGGAGACACACCATCACGCTGCTAGGCCGGGGCCCCGGCAGATCCACCCCCTCTTCCCTGGTTGCACTGGCCCCCACGCAGAGCAGAGGCAAATGTCACGGCCTGGCTTTGGCAGGGGAAGATAGCAAGTCCAGTTAGCCCGGTATGCCATGGTTGCGAAGCCCCCCCACTCACGACTCGACCCAAAGCCCCAGCTGGCCAAGGGCCCTACAACTGGCTTGGGGAAGTTCCCAAGAGACAGGGCAGGGCAGGGCATTCCCAAGAGCAGGCCTTGGGCTCCAGGACTGATGCTGAGGAAACGAGTCAAAATGTGGACAGTTGCAGAGCATGATGCTGGCAGACCAGCGGCCAGCTCATGCCAAGGTCCCCGCGTCTCCCCGAACACAAGCGGAGCAACCTGGCTCACCTGGCTGGTAGGACACAGCAGAGCAGGTTGAGTGTTTCAGCTCAGGTATGTGTGTGTTGCAGCCTGCGTTAATCTCACTTGTAACAGCTGCAGCTCATGGGCCAAGAGGATATTGGAGCGTTGGCGCAATGAAAGTCACCAGACAGGAGAGGCCTTAACTGGTGGGAAGGGCTGGTTCCCCACAGGTGCCCAGTCCACCCCACAAGGAAGGCCCAGCAACACCAGAGGGACAAGAATGGAACAAGAGAGAACAAGACTTGGTTGTTTTCTCCCCCCCTCCCCGCCATGAGTCTTGCAAGTGAATTCCTCCCATCAGCTGGGCTTGTAGCTCAAAGCAGGAGGGGGAAGTGCCTGAGGAAATGGCTCTCATTGCAACTTGGACTCTGGGGGCAAGGAGTACAAGGCATTGACCAAAAAACCCTGGTGTGGAGCCTGGGTCAGCCCGAAAGGACAGAGAGCTTGCTTGTGACAGGAGCTACTCCCTTCTGAAGCTTCACCTGGGAACTAACTGGTGAGAGTTGCCCTGCTTCAATCTTGTAAATAACTTGTTTCTTTTCCCTATAGAATAAATTAAATAATTACAGTCTTGGCTACAAACCTTGCCCTTGATAGGAGATCTAGGGGGCAACGGCCCTGGGGTAAGCGACTGGCCCTCAGGGAGCGGGAGCAACCTGAACATTGTCTGACTCCAGAACAGAGCCAGGCTGGGGTAGTGCCGGAGAAGTTTACGCTGCAGGGTTGGTTCCGGAGACTTCAGCAGAGAACTCTCAGCCCCTTTCGGGTTTATGCCCTGCCTCTGAGCAGTGCCCTGAGAGCTTCTCCTCAGGCAGGCTTTCTGCTCCCTGCAGGCCCTTAGCTGGCTTAGTGACAGCAGATCGCTCCCTGGCCAGCACAGGCTGCTGGCTTTGGGGACAGCTGCTCTGCTTTCAGCTAGAGCCCTGCAGAGCAAGTGCAGGGACCTCAGCTGGCTGCAGCAAGAAAGGCTGATGGAAACCCAGCTGGCAGCAGCCCCCTGCAAGCCTTGGCTCTGAGGTCAGGCCGTTAATAAGCTCATCACAGGGGTGATGGTATGCCAGCCTCCTGCCCAGGATGGAGAGCAGTGTTTCCCCATGGAGCAGGCTTTCCTCCTCACAGGCAGCGTGGGGAGCCCCAGGGTGCCTGGCCCAGCAGCAGTGAAGTACGCGGTGGATACGCTGGTACGCCCACCCTGCAGCTCTCGGAAAGAAAACACGCTAGCTAAAGGACACCCATTCCCAGTTCTGCACCGGGCCAGGAGGCAGCCTACCTGCGGCTGGCTCTAGGCAGCTGCCAGCGATAACCATCCCCTGGGGAAGTTCTCAGATACTGAGCAGGGAAGCCCCACGTTCCCTCATGCTGCCCAAGCTCCTGCACCAGCAGGGATTTGCACAGACAGGTCAGCCTTGTATGGACTCTGCACCAGCTCGATACACACCCATGAAGCCCCTGCCACGGGGCAGGGCCTAGCCCCTGCTGCAGCTCTTAGCCATGAGCAGCTGGCCCATGCCCATCTAGGCTCCAACAGGTGATGTGGGGCACATGGGAGACTTCCCTCCCATGCTCCAGGCCAAGTGCAGTGGTCAGCTGGAGGCAGGGCAGCAGCAGGGCCCTGCTGCCCCACCTCAGGGACTAGGGTTACCAGCCATAAGAATGCCCCTGGCCCTAGGGGTGAAGGGGGCTGCCAGCTGGGGCAGACACTCCCAGCTCAGTAGTGTTCAGCTGCCCCTGCTGAAGGTGATTGTGTTCTGGAACGTACAGGAGCAAGACACCAGCTGCCCCTTCAGTGCAGCACAACACCTGGCTTTGTCATGGCCTCTGCACACCCGAATACCTGGGCTGTGCTGATCCCCAGGTGGAAGAGCTGCAGAACCAGGTCAGCACTAGGCCTGGGCTGAGGGAAAACACCAGCTCTCCTGCAGCCAGACATTCACAGGCAAGTGCTGTGGAGCAGCATGGTGATGCTGACTTGGGTCTGGAGGCTGCTGTTCCTCGAAATGGCCAGACTTCACATGGGATTTTGATGCTGACCTGGAGCCTGACTGCAGCAAACAGCAGCAGCACAAGGGCTAAAGCAATTCAGCCTTGTCCCCTTCCTCCTCCACCTGCCAGGGTAGCGCAACACACCAGTGAAGGCACCTGGGGGGAATGACTAGGGGGCCCAGGCTTTCCTTGGCTTCCAGGCGTCCCACATGATGGCGGCTGGTGATGGGACCAGGCCTGCTTTGAACAATGAACTGAGCTAGACAGTGCTGGGTTTGAGTCATGTTGAGCAAGGGCCTCACTCTGTGCCACGTACTCCGCAAGAGTTGAGACATGGACTCTGCTGTGCCAGCCTCATCGAACCGGTGTCCTCACAGCTTCCCAATGCACCTCTGGGACTGTTCGGCACACTGGTTAAGACGGGCCGTTACTGCATGGTGATAGCTACTAAGGCAGGTTTCACCCTATAGACTTATACAGTGCTTGGGAATCCAGCTGGGGGAAGGGTGCTTGGGACCCTGCTAACCTGCTCTCCCTTTCACCAGGGGCCCTAGCTCAGACCCCCACTGTTTAAATAGGAGAGAGGAGGGCAGCTTTCCCATGGGAGGGGTCCAATGCCAACAGGAGGTAGATGTCAGGGGCTTGGCTTAGACTTGCGGGCACCCCTGCTGGTCTGTAGCATTCTGGAGTTGCATGGCTCCCTTTGCATGAGTCAGACCCTGAGCTGTAACAAGGATGCTGAGAAGATCCCGAGTTCCCCATACGTTGAGTGTCTGTACCATAGCAGGGCAAATGGCAGGCCAAGTCTACAGCATAGGCAGAGCAGTCACATTCCAATCCTGCAATAGGGAATACAGCAGCCAAGCTGGTCATTTCCACAGGGCAGAGTCCTTCCCACCCCTCAGAGCAGCTCCAGATGCCTGCAACCATGTCCATATCAGAACAAGCAACCTCTGACTTAGGGGATATCCCTGTGCTGTGTCTGCACTCACTACGCCTCAAGCCCTCCAGCATTCTCAGCCCTCAGGTGGCACACAAAGCAAGCTGGGAACCAACTCGCTCTAGCCAGACTCCCAGGCAGCAGGTCCGGGCTGGGGAGATAATGGAACTGTGTTGTCACTGACAAGGAGAATCCTGCTTTACACTCTCAGACAAGGCACTGGCTGGGCAGGGTTTTCAAATGGGTATGAAGCAAATGGAAACACATGGAAGTTACAGCTCAGCCCTCTCTGCAGCTGAGCCAGTGTGAAGATCAAGTTTCAGAGTAGCAGCCTTGTTAGTCTGTATTCAAAAAAAGAAAAAAGGAGTACTTATGGCACCTTGGAGACTAACCAATTTATTTGAGCATAAGCTTTCATGAGCTACATCGGATGCATTCAGATGTAGCTCACGAAAGCTCATGCTCAAATAAATTGGTTAGTCTCCAAGGTGCCACAAGTACTCCTTTTTTCTTTTTGTGAAGATCAAGTTATCATAGTATTCTGTCCTTCGAGCTATGAAACACTTTCTTTTCAAGACATAGCCTCTTAGCCACCACAAATAAAATGCAATTCGGAGCAGGATAATGCAGATTCTACTCTCAGAGCAAAGCAAGGAAGCCACCGCATTCCCCCTCTGCTTTCTCATACTGCACATGCCCATTGTGTGCCATGCTGTCGAGGTTAGAACATACACCTTGCATACAGGACAAGGCCTCAGCACAGTGCCAAGCCCTGAAGAATCGAGGCCAATTAAAGGAAGGCTTTACACACCCAGAGGTTGGCATATCAGGAAACCTGTCGGCCCCATCAGTCATGGATAAACTAGCTGCCTTACACTGCAGAGCATATGCTGAGTGAATCTCTCAGCATTGCAGCAGCTCAGAGGAATGCCTCCTCAACACAGGGCCAATCTGTCATTTGATCAGCTGGTAAGCTCTACACCTGGACATACGGTGCAGAGCCCTGGGCATAACCAGGCAGGAATGAGGAGAAAGACTGGACTAGGCTAAGTCTGTTCCCTTGATGCATGAGAACATTGTCCCGCTGTGAGTGGGACGTATGCATGCTGAACACCAGCAGAGCTGTGCTGTCTGTCCCACCACACCCCAGCTCAGGCCTGCGAGGAATAGGATATATTCTCTTACAACTGCCCAGGCCAACCCAGCTGGGAAACATGTTTGGCACAAGTTTTGGAACAGTGAAAGGGGAAGAAGCGTCCAGATTTGGACTCTCCCGTACTGACCCAGTGGTTGCCCTCGCTGGAAACCAGCTACCGGTCACCATCTCACAGCAGCAGCATGAGAAAACCCATCACTGATTGGGTTTCAGCCCCAATATGCCCTGGGCTGCCGCACCCCAAGACGGCAGGCTGACAAAGACGCACTTTGGTCCACCAGTGTCGCTCACCCCACCCTGCTTTTCTGCCATGAGCATGAACAGAAACAGCAACAGCCAATACACACGCACAGTAACCCTCTATTCAGAGACCTTATCCTAGGGGAACAGCAGGTACACGGACACTGGGTAGCAGAGGAGGCAGCCCCGGCAGTGGAGCAGACCTGCACACTGCTCCTGTGATGCTGGAAGTGGAGAGCTCCTGGTGTTAACATACAGCGCCTGCCACCAGGAACTCTGGAGACCGGCACACTGAGACTCTAGCTAGCTAGAAAGCAGCACAGTATGGGAGTGTGCATAATGCACATGGTGTTCCCTTCAGTTTGTTAGAATTTACTGCTCATTAGTCAGTCTGATGTTGGGAAGGGCTCTTCAGCAGGGCAGAGTCAGCCTATGGGTCTTGCAGTATGGCAAGACTGGAAAGCACTAGGCAGACCAGCAGCAGCCTCTTCTAGTGTGATAATGCAGGACAGTCTGTAGAGGAGAGCTGCAGCCTGGACTGTGGAGGGGAAGGAGTTCACTCCATAGAGATGTTAGCTCAGAGATTAGCGTCCAACTTGGTTCCCTTGCTTTGTGTGTTCACTTCCCCCGTGCCTGTCATCTTGGTTACGCCTTGGAGCCCAGGCCAGCTCCCAGTCTTACTCCAACGTTAGCTGCTTCACACAGAGCTCAGGGAGAAAGTCAATGGCCTTGATTCGGAATCCCAGCCACAAAGCGGTAATGCCCAACCACCACTCCCCCCAGCCTTGGCAGACATGCAGCATCCACAGCTGTAACACTCCCTCCTATCGGCCCCAGGAGATCACTGTCCACATGTGTCGCAGAGTGGGCACGTCTCCCCCTTTCGAGGGATGGATGTCACTCCTGGGGGATAAAAGCAGCACAACAGACCTGCACAAGGTGTGGGAAACCCCAGGACCCAAGACAAGCCTCATGAGGGACGAGATAGGGAGGACAGCCAAATGGGGGCTTGCCAAGGCCTGGTACAGGGAAGGGGTGTCAGCCTGTCAGAAAGAACCCATGGACAGGCCAGCTGGAAGAGTGCAGCTCTGTGCAGAAGCTTAGTAGAGACTAAAAGGAAAATACCTCAACTGAAGGGAAAAAAAATACCACACAAATGTGATCTGAGATTCAAAGCCACCTTAGCCTTTCCTTCGGGGGTCTCCTCTAACGAGTCTGGGAGCATTCTCCCAAGGAGCTCAGCCTTGCTAGCACCACATCAAGATTTGCTAACATCTTTAGGTTTTGCATGAAGGACACCTGATTCAACCATTTCCTCTAACAGACTGACACGAATGTTTGACGTAAAAAGAAACCTTTGCAAGGAGGGTTTGAAAGTTTCCTTCCTTTCAAGTGAAAAGCGCCATAAGTGGAGGCCTATGGGGTCCTGAGAGTTCTCTGGAGACCCAGCAGCTTGTATTCTCTACTTCTGAGGGCCCTGTCTGCTCCCTGTTTTAGCAGCAGGTTTTGTATGCCATACACAGTAACTATGTAAAGAGACCACCCTAACAGATGCTCCAGAACCAACACGTGCAGAGCTACAGAAAAGCCCTAATGGCAGTCAGTGGACCAAGAAACTTTGTGCACAAACCCAACTGGGGGAGGGGGCAGGAAGAAACACAGCGCTAGGATTTCCCAGTCTAAGCCTGGGCAAGGCTAATTTGTTGGTGTAGCGAAGCGTCCAATCCACACCTCACCTCCTAGCCATTGCCCTATGAGAGCCAGGAGCCTTCCTTCGGTGACAGATACCCCTGGCACAGGGTGTTGGCTCATCAGATGCAGGAATTCCAGGCTGTTTGTTCTAGGTGAGGGAGGAGGTGGCCTTGAGACAGACCGTTTGCAGTGGCTGGACCCTGCCTGTACCAGACACATCCTCACCCCACCAGCCACACAGGAAGAAACTGCACAATGAGAACCGTTCTTGGGGAGCGAGGTCCTGCTGGCTAATGTCTGCTTCTGCTGGATCCTTCATCAAAGAGAGACATCCAGCCCTAGGGCTGATCTACAGGCGCACCTAGGAGGGAACGGCTTTGCTTATCCAGAGGGATAATGAAGCCACTGTGGGCTGGCAAAGAATGCTTGTTCTTGGGCCTCTGACAGCTCCAAGAAAAGGGCTGCAGATTGCTCTAGAAGTCCTGGCTGAAGTAACTGTAGCCCCCAGGGGCAGTTGACTCTTCCCGAACATACTGCTGCCTTGGGAACCGTCCTACGGTGGGCACTGCTCCTGGCATCCTGCACAGTGAATGGAGGGGGGAGGGGAAGAAAGGGAGAGTAGACATAGTCAGAACCACTCTGGAGTCTGTCAGTTATCATTGCAAAAACAAACACTGCTATCATCAGCAACAACCCTATTGCAGCTGGGCAGCACACTTACATCAAGGCAACGTGCTTTCAAGTGACCTATTTACAGAACTAAGCACAAATGTCAGCACCCAATGCTTGACAGCGCCACTCTAATGTCTGTCAAGTGTTTCCATTATATACCAAGTTTCCTCAATTTCTTCTCAGTAAGGTTGTAGAATCCACCTTGGAGCTGGCAGCCAGCAGACAAGGGCTTAGACCAATCGCAGCTTAGAACAAACCAATTACAATGGCGCCAAAGACTGGCAACCCCGGAATTTGTGCTCCTGGGAGCTAAAAGCAGCTTCCTGCTGAAACTCCACTGTTGAGGGTTTTTTCTGTAATTGGGAGAATTATTGCTCTTCCTCACTAGAGGGAGATCGGAGTTTTTCTGGCCACGTTTCATGACATTGTTCTTTGGACTAGCATTGAAGGACCCTGTGTGGTAGACAAGCGTCTTTGTGGGTGTTCTCAGCTACAGAAAGGTAGATGTGTGCAGTGTAAGGAGCTGGGGTAGGGTCCCACTTGTGTTTTCTGCGAAGAGCATAGCGGATTTGAAGGCTCTACAGAATGGCTAACAACACTTAAGAGGTCACTAAAAATGCCAGCAGGCGTTAGTCCTATTTCAGCACTAGAGGCTGAGGAGCTCATTCACTGTGCACATGCCACGCCTCTGCCTGGAGGTGCAATGCCCCACTGCAAGAAGCCAGCTCACCAGGTACATATGGAACACAAGCACTAGTGAATGATGCGTGCGAGCCCACAAGCACCTACAATTGGAGGCGGACACTAACAGCCTCCTGCCACCCCGAAGTGTCCTGAGCTTGTACAAATGCAAACAAGGTCAGAACAAAGGCCAAAGTTCTGGGCAGGCGGAGCCCTCAGCACCTTGTGCTGCAAAGGCTGGGCCCTCCCCAGCGCAGTGTCCTGGCTTGGGACACCGTCAAACCCTTCTGACAGGGGAGTTTGCCTGTGCCGGAATAGTCCCACCGTTACAAAACCCAAGGAGGGGCTGCTATTCCCCATGGTACAGAAGGGTAGTGAAGCACCTTCCTTCTGCCTCTCCCCATTCCCAGATTTTTCTGAGCATCTCTGGAACATGTGGCTGGAAAGTAGGTTTTCACCATGGAGATTTCCTGCTACTGAGCTCCCCTCCCTTTCTAAGGAACACTTCACCCTACCAGTTTGGCTTCGTTATGAGAACCCTCTAATTTAAAGCTCAGAATCAGGGCTCCCAACTGGAAGAGTCTAGTACAAATGTTTGTGGTATAATGGATCAGATCTTTGCCTAGCAGCCTACGCTTCTGGAACTAGTTCTCAGGCCAGTAATACACCAAGTAGAGCAGGTAATTTGGTGTGCATGGTTCTTAGGGGCACACTGTCTCAGGTTACAGTACACTTAGGCCATGCCTACACTACCTGCCGGATCGGCGGGTAGTGTTCGATTTATTGCGTCTAGTGTAGACGCGACAAATCAATCCCCAATCGCTCTGCCGTCGACTCCGGAACTCCACCATGGAGAGAGGTGGAAGCGCAGTCGATGGGGGAGTGGCGGCCGTCGATCCCGCGTCGCAAGGACGCAAAGTAAGTGATTCTAAGTCAATCTAAGATACACAACTTCAACTACGAGAATAGCGTAGCTGAAGTCGACGTATCTGAGCTTGATCCCCCCAAGTGTAGACCAGACCTGAGTGATACTGTCTATGATTGAGTGCGCCAACTTCAGACAGGGCAGCAGAAAATGCTGGAGCTGCAAACAGCTCTCCGGCTAGGCTATTTTCAGATCAAAAGCTTTATTGCTCCAGAAATGTTGCTTGGCAGAAGGAAGGCTAGACAACTTGACCTGAGATGTCCATGCATATGGGACATATGCCTGATGTTCTATGGCTTATTTACTGCTTAGCAGCTGGTTGGTGTTTTTGGTTCACAACTAGCAAACAGCTCTTATATGTAGGGCCCTACTAAATTCATGGTCCATTTTGGTCAATTTCACGGTCATAGGATTTTAAATATAGTAAATATCATGATTTCAGCTATTTAAATCTGAAATTTCACTGTGTTGTAACTGTAGGGGTCCTGACGGAAAAAGGAGTTGTAGGGGGGATGTTGCAAGGTTACTGGGGGGGGGGGAAGGGGGGGGGGAAGAGGGTGGCCACTCTGCTACCCTTACGTTTGTGCTGCTGCTGGCACTGCCTTCAGAGCTGGGCAGCTAGAGAGCGGCAGCTGCTGGCCGGGAGCCCAGCTCTGAAGGCAGAGCCCCGCCAGCTGCAGCAGAGAAATAAGGGTGGCATGGTATGGGATTGCCACCCTTACTTCTGCACTGCTGTCTGCAGAGCTGGGCCCTCAGTCATCAGCTGCCATTCTCTGGGCACCCAGCTCTGAAGGCAGGAGCGCAGAATGGTGGTGTTGCCTGATATGGTGTTGCCACCCGTACTTCTGTGCTGCTGTTGGCAGGGTGCTGCCTTCAGAGCTGGGCGCCTGGGTTCCAACCACCCAGCTCTGAAGGCAGTGCAGAAGTTAGGGTGGCAATACCATGATCCCTCCTAAAATAACCTTGCGACCCCCCCTGCCACTCACTTTTGAGTCAGGAGTCCCAAGTGGAGAAACGCTGGTCTCCCCTGTCATATCGGTATACGCACAGGATAAAACACACACGAGACCAGGTTTCACAGTCTATGATGCATTTTTCATGGCCAGGAATTTGGTAGGGCCCTAATAATATGCTAGTGTGGCACCATGGATCGGCCTGTAGAGGGAGCTGTCTAAGCAAAACTGACCAGAGTGTAAACTGCAGTGTAGTCATAGCTGTGTCAGTCGTAGGATGAGAGACAAGGTGGGTAAGGTAATCTTTTACTGGATTAATTTCTGCTGGAGAGGGAGAGAGAGAGAGAGACAGAGACAGACAGAGGGCTTGGCTACACTTACATTACATATTTCAGAGTAACAGCCGTGTTAGTCTGTATTCGCAAAAAGAAAAGGAGGACTTGTGGCACCTTAGAGACTAACCAATTTATTTGAGCATGAGCTTTCGTGAGCTACAGCTCACTTCATCCTGGATGAAGTGAGCTGTAGCTCACGAAAGCTCATGCTCAAATAAATTGGTTAGTCTCTAAGGTGCCACAAGTCCTCCTTTTCTTTTTACATTACATAGCGCTCTAACTTGCTGGCTCTGGGGGGGGTTGACCCCCCGCCCAAGCGCAGCGAGTCAGAGTGCTTTAAAATGCTAGTGCGAGCCACACTCCCAGCTAATCCCCCCTCCCATGGAGGTGGATACCAGGAGCGCTGGGAGAGCTCCAAACGCACACTTCAGTGCTTTGAAATTTCCAGTGTAGCCATGCCCAGAGAGACAGCCACAAGCCTTCAACCCACACCACTTTCCCTTGAATGGCCCCTTACAATAGGTGCTAACTACTGATGCTAAACAATCTGTTCCACCTTGCATTTAGCTGTGACCCTGGGAGTACCTTTTCCAGACCGGAAGAGCAGCTCTGGGTGGCTCAAAAACCTCTCTCACCAACAGAAATTAGTCCCATAAAAAGAAGAAAAGGAGTACTTGTGGCACCTTAGAGACTAACCAATTTGCATCTGATGAAGTGAGCTGTAGCTCACGAAAGCTTATGCTCAAATAAATTGGTTAGTCTCTAAGGTGCCACAAGTACTCCTTTTCTTTTTGCGAATACAGACTAACACAGCTGTTACTCTGAAACCTCCCATAAAAGAGATTACCTCCCTCACCACGTCTCTGTGTAAGCAGACACTAGTGGATCTCGGTCATAAAAGGAGGTGCACAAATTTTCAAAGTGCATCATTTTGATTGAGAGTCATACTGAAATAGTGCCCCCAATTCAATGGCATGAAACGGAACGATACACTTTAACTACTGCCATTGTAAATGCATTTAAACCAAAGGTCACTTACTGATTCTTGTGTTTGAAGCCGCTGATGTGAGCTTGGTACTGCTCTATGGAATTCAGTACTACATTACAAGTGTTGCAGGGGTACCCCTTCCCAGCTGAAACAGACATCAATGTTAACAAACAGCTATCCAATCATTTGGTGCCTGAGGTAGAAATAAGCAAGATAAATCAATCAACTGGACACACCAGTGAAACAGTTGCTAAACAGAAATAAATGGCATGTAAAATCCAGCATTTTGACTGGCTGAGGAGATAGCAAGCTCTCTCTCTGCCCCCACCAATGGATTCTTAACAGAGGCCACAGCCACTTGGGGAACAGTGTGCCAAGCCAAAAACAACGTCTCCAATCAGAGTGCAGGTTTCTTCATTACAAAATGCACTGTAATGTTTCTGAGGTAGTTCATGCTCTTTCAGTGGCCTGGGGTAGGGTTTGAGAGTTCTCAGTCCAGACACAGCAATGCCTCTGCATCTCCACTTCCCTCTTGATCTGTACATCTCAGTTTCAGACAGCGAACTTTCAGAGAGGGAATTTTTCAACTTGAAGTACAAGGGAAACAGCACCCCACAAGATTATATACACAACATCAAATTTTAAGATACAGCATGAGATTCTGTATGCCATCCCTCAGTCACACATTAAGCTCTGTCCTGAAGCATCGGATATGTTTGAATGATACACAAAACTGCAGAACTCTTTCCTGTTGGTTGCTGTCTCCGATATATCAGTGCTCTTGGGTACGATGTCAAACTCCAGCTGGAGTGAGATTTCTGGAACTTCTACTGGAGGTCAGAGATGCTGAGCACAAGGAAGTGGGATCAGGAGTGGAAAACATGCCACAGCGTAGGAGGCTAGTTCAGGGGACAACTACACAGAATTTTTTCTAAGATGAGAATTGCTGTGTACATTCCCAGCTCAGACCCTCAGGCTGCAAGCTCCTTGGGGCAGGGGCTCAGTCTGTTTGCTAACGTGCCATACACAAAAATACTAAAAACAGGCATCTTAAGAAACAACTAAGAGGCCAAGAACACACACTTCAGACAACATAACTTAGGGGGAAAAAACAGCAGTACAACAACTAACAGCGCGAAGGGCAATGCAGCAAACACTCCTTACAATGCTGATGTATTGTCAAGATTTTGGACTGTTAGGCCATTTAACTTTGAGAACAGTGATCTAGAGTCAGATTTTAAGAGCCAGAAGGGACTTATGACCACCTAGTCTGCATTGCTGCATAACCCAGGCCAGAAAATTTAAGTCCACCATACTTCCTTATGGGAAGACACTCAAGTTAAAGCGATTTAAACTGCATCCCTGCCACCCTATGCTGGTTGTGTTTAAAAGGAGCTTTTTAAATTGTGAGGTACCTAAAGTTACTTATATAAAAGAGAAGAATTTAGATGTGACTGCGGGCTAATCAAGATAGGTACAGCCCCAAGATAGGCAGTCCAGGGAGATAACCGGAAGGACCATGCTAGAGAAGATGCCAGAGCCTCCAGGAAAGCACAGATTTGACTTGGACCCCAGGTTTCATGGAGGGGAGTGTGGGTGTATGACATCTGAAAGAGCTAGATAGCAACTGTACAAAGATCTGACAGCTGAAGGAGTTGGACAAAAATAGACAAGTAGTTCAGACCAATGCTCTTTGTGCTGCATATCAGAGTGGCTCCTGATTGCAGTCCAGACTCTGAAATCTTGTTTGTGATAGGTTAAATGTAACACGAGATGTGACAGGCATTCAGGTGCCTCGAACATCCCATGGAAGAGTACAGTTACTCTAGCAACAGTACAGTCTGTCTACTACAAAGATCCCAGGGGTCACAGCATCCACCTGCACCTGACAGGGTCAGAATTTAAATGACTTAGTGTTGTCTTTATTTGAGTCACAACAGAAGACTGACACTAAACCAGGGCTCTACTGATTAGGGAAGGAGCAGATTTTTAGACCATCAGATCACTCCATTGCCTGACCATTTCTAGTCTAAAGCTGGATATTATGTGCCGTTGGCATCTTCAGTTTTACTGCTCAAGGGGCAGGGAAGACTGCTTAGTATCGATACCCATTACTTGTTAGTGCCATCAGTGCCTGAAAGGCGACATGCAAAGGGTTAAAATCTGGGCTTGTGCCCTTTTACGTCTCTTTAGACTAGCGAAACAGGGCCCGAAAGGGAGGTCTATTGAAAAGGATTTCCTTCTGGCTGTTATTTTTTATTTTCAAAATATCAGGAATGTGAAGTCTGGTTTCTCTCGTGTGAGGAGGTGCAGTGGGAGGTACAGAGGAGTTTATTGTGAGCTTTTAAAAACCTTCACTGCATCTTAACAGAGACTCTATACACAACACTGTTTATAAACAGCAGTTACCAAAAGAGAACATAATTTTAAACAGTCCACAAATCCCTCTCAATAGCTCAGCTTTCCCTCCAGTATGTGCTGGGATACAGCAAGCACACAACCTCATCAGATAGGACTGGAAAGACTACTGTCAAAACAGGCAGAACCCCTTGCAGTCCCTATGTATACATCATAGAGCAGTAAGATTGGTGCAAGCTCAGCATTTTCTCCCATGGCAGGGCACCCTGAAAGGTCCCTTTGGCGCACTGATTGCCACCTCTGTAGCTCCAGTTTGGGAGCAATCCACTTGCTAGAAATTCAACTTGCTCCTAAGATCCCTCGGAATCTTTATGTCTTGAAACTTTACATCTAGACAGACAATATAATTACCAAAAGCTAAGGTAATACCCCAAGCAATAACAGGGGTTTATAATGGAAACACTAACCAATCCTACCTTAAAAAACAAAAATTGTGCAATTTGTTGATTCTGTTCCCTTCAAAAGGCTATCAATCCCAAAGCTTTCACACCCCCACTGCCGCCGTGAGACCCTCCCACCCCATCTGTCAGCTACTTTGGTAAGCTTGGCTGCCCAGGACTCACCCATGGAGGAGGATGCAGGTGTGTCAGAGGTACGACCATAGTGTGCCATCAGCTTGAGTTTGGTCTCTTGCTTTCTGTGTTTCTTCCCTACATAATGCTGTTTTGCCATGAGCGGATTGTTGAAAGTGGCATGGCACAGGCTGCAGAACTTGTCAGGGTCAGAAGTGTTCTGGTTCTCCTCGTTGGAAGATACAGCAGAGGGAGGGAGGTCAGCCGGGGATTTCTGTGGAGGCATCGTTACTGTAAAACGAAACAGAACACCAATTACCAATATTTAGAGATGTACAAACTAAGCAGCCAGAGTCAGTCTTTGGAATTTTCAGTTTGTTTCTACAGAGAAGGGCTTTTGACACAAGATTTGCTGGAGGCTTTTCATTTGGATCTGTACACATCTTTTCCTTTCATATCCCATAAACAAACATCAAATGGTAAGACAAGTCAGAGTTTCCAAGTTAAATCAGAACTGCAGATCCTCCTTGGCCATATCTTAGAGCACAGCAGGCCAACAGTGACATATTTAAAGAAACTGGAAACAAATCACCTCCCACCCACAAGGATGTCGCTCACTTCCAGCAAATGGAAAAAGGGAAAGAAAAGATAAAGAACAGAGCAAAACCCTCCCAGAATGTTATCACGGAGCGTGGGGGAGTCTGGGGCCTGCACCCCTCTTCCTGGGATTCACGGTGACTCTCAGCCAGCCAGTAAAACAGAAGGTTTATTGGACAATAGGAACACAGTCTAAAACAGAGCTTGTGGGTACAACCAGGACCCCTCAGTCAAGTCCTTCTGGGGGGCAGGGAGCTTAGATCCCAGCCCTTGGGTTCCCTGCATCCACCACCCAGCACCAAACTGAAACCGAAACCCCCCCCAGCAGGCTCCCTCCTGCAGCCTTTGTCCAGTTTCCCGGGCAGAGGTGTTACCTCCCCCTCCCCCTCCCGGCTCAGGTTACAGGCTCTCAGGTCTCCCATCCCCAGTGACAGGTTTCAGAGTAACAGCCCTGTTAGTCTGTATTCGCAAAAAGAAAAGGAGGACTTGTGGCACCTTAGAGACTAACCAATTTATTTGAGCATGAGCTTTCGTGAGCTACAGCTCAAGTGATCACTTTAGATAAGCTATTACCAGCAGGAGAGTGGGGTGGGAGGAGGTATTTTTTCATGCTGTGTGTGTATATAATAAGAGCTTCTACACTTTCCACAGTATGCATCCGATGAAGCGAGCTGTAGCTCACGAAAGCTTATGCTCAAATAAATTGGTTAGTCTCTAAGGTGCCACAAGTACTCCTTTTCTTCATCCCCAGTGAAACTCCCCTGCCACATTCCAAGGACAAACACTCCCCCCGCCCTGCTGCGTCACAACTGTACTTTCAGAGTAATTTTCTTTCAATGGTATGATATTTAAATTGTGTGTGGAGGACCTGATCCTGCACCATTAGTCAATAGTAGCCTTGCCACCAACTTCATTGGAACAGGACTGAGCCTGATTAAGTTAATTGACAAATGCACACAGTTCCATTGCTGTATGATGAAAACACTTGCAACATACTCTTATGCCACAGTGATAGGCACCTTCAAAATATATGAGCACGCTCCCGCAGTGAGCAAGTGACCTGGTCTCCTCATGAGCACCTCTTTTTATAAAGTCTCCTTATCTGACCCAACGCAGAGGCTCCAAAGGGTAAGAATGCCAGACGGGATGCAGAAGTCTACTCTCTCTGCATGCACTGTACATGGAGAACTAGGCACTCCAGTCACTCCAAATTATAATTACTTTTCTTAAAGCAAGCTTCAGGGCAATGCAAGTCTACAAAACAGACTATCAAAAGGGGAAACAGAGTTGTTGGCATGTGTTTCACCAGGCTGCCACATGCTTCTGATTTCTAACAGCACTCATCTCACTGGGAAAGCATTAGCACCCTTATGCCAGAGCTGTAGCAAGGTACTCAGCCACACTCATCTAGAAATCATGATGTGACATGAGTGGGAAGATTACCTACTTGTGCTGCTCCCTCACAGGGCACCCGTACAAGTACTGCAGACGGCCATACCTTCCATTTTGGGGGACTGCTGCTTCAGCTTCAGGTTCTTGGCATGAGTCTTGCCTAAGTAGTGAGACATGGCCACAACGGGAGAGGAAAAGGTCATGTTACAGATGGGGCAGCATTTGTTCCGGTCTTCTCCACTGCTGCTCTCCTGTTCACAAGAAGGAACATTGATGTTTGAGAATCTGAAGCAACCAGACTTATTCAGCTGTCAAGGCCGAGGAATTTGGTACAGCTTCATTCCTTCCTTTGAAGAACCGTGTTCTCATTTCTGACTAGTCTCACTTTCATTAGGTAGTGGCACATTTTGGCAGGCTATTATGACCCAGAGGAGTTGAGGACAAAGTAGGTGGCTGAACTGGTGTAGGTTCCCAGCCTATTCACTACAAGATATGGACCACGCAATACAAAGCATTGCAGCCAACTCTGTCAGCTATAATTCAAAGCTACCTGACTAGGTTAACAGTGTCTATTTTATTCTGACCCTACCACCACACACAGAGATCCTCCTTTTATACCATCCCTGAACTGTGTATTCCTTGTGGGCATATGCAAGAGGCTGGACTGGAGAAGATTTGGAATTAAAGCTGAAGTAGTGATAAAACTTGCATCTGTTACTCAAACTGCATAATCATCCTGCAGGCAGATGGCTGGAAATGCCTTAAAGGCACCACAACCACCAGCAATGGGAACTTTGAGTAACAAGAGATCATCCAAAAAAGTAAACTCCAGCAATATAATTAATTCCACAGGACATGCTCACTGACAGTAAGTTACATAGCAATTACATTTGTGACTGCTCTTAATCACCTTTCACCCTCACCTGTCCTTCCAAATGTTGCTTCATAGCAGTACTTCTATCGGGGTGGGGTGACACATTTATTTAGATTGCAGGTGTTGCCACACACTGGCTAAGAGGTGTGCTCACTGCAGCAATGTGTAGCAACTCAAGGGCTCAGCTGTCCTCACTAACGGCTGGTCTACACTACTGCGCGGGGTTGATCTAAGATACGGAACGTCAGCTATGTGACTAGCGTAGGTGAAGTCGACGTACTCAGACCTACTTACCGCGGCGTCCTCACTGCAGTAAGTCAACAGCTGATGCTCTCCCATCAACTCCGCTTGTGCTCTTCGGTCTGGTGGAGTACTGGAGTCGAGGGGAGAGTGCTCAGTGGTTGATTTATTGAGTGGAGACTGGTTTCAGAGTAACAGCCGTGTTAGTCTGTATTCGCAAAAAGAAAAGGAGTACTTGTGGCACCTTAGAGACTAACCAATTTATTTGAGCATGAGCTTTCGTGAGCTACAGCTCACTTCATCAGATGTATACCGTGGAAACTGCAGCAGACTTTTGCACAAGTACTCCTTTTCTTTTTGAGTGGAGACTAGACATGATAAATCGATCCCCAATGGATAGATCGCTGCTCACCGACCAAGCAGGTAGCGTAGACAAGCCCTAAGTTACCCAATTTCAACAATCCTCTCTCTGATGTATTATTCCATATTCCACTGCACTGGCTAAGTCCCTGTCAACGAAGCACTCCTCAGTGCTTACAGGATGCTAGTCCTCTTCTAGAGCTCTGAGGCCCTGTAGTTTTCTACATCACCTGCTTGGTCTCCAGCTTTATCTTCTTCCCCTGACTGAACTCCTCCTCGCCGTGAATCGACATGTACCGCCGCACTTTGTTTGCGTGCTTTTTGCTCTAGCAGGGAGGGAGGGAGGAAGAAAATCGGGTTAATGGTCAACAACTATTCTATTCAATTACATCCAAAATAAGAAACCCAGCAACATCTTGCTGCCTGCAGTACCTGGTAATGAGCAAGCTTCTGGGACTCTGAGATGAGCACTGCGCTGCACACTTTACACTGAGCGTCTGTGAAAATGTGGCTGTTCTCTCTGATCATACGATCCACTGTGAAGAACAAGACGTGGAAACGTGTTGCAGTTTACTTTCAAACAAGGTAGCGCCTAGTACGAGACTCTGGACCCTGAAATAACACTGGGCCACGGCTACCGTCTTCAAATAGCTCTCACGTGAATGTGGTTAGGGGGCCTCGTGTCTTGGATTTTCAATCTTTAGGAGTAAATAATAAGTCTCAGCACACCCAAACGCGCATCTCCCGTGCTGCGGAAGCGGAGTAACCCCCCCGGGGCCGGTCGGGGCGCGGGCGCTCACGAACCGAGGAGGAAAGGCCGCCCCGAACGCCCTGCCCGCTCCCGGGACGAGCGGAGACCCCCGGCCCGTCCACACGGGCCGCGCTCAAGCCACTGGCGGGCGGCCGCTGGTCCGGGGGCAGCCCCTTGGCGGGCGCAGCGGAGCCCGGGCACCGCCCCGCTGCTGCCCCCCCCGGCTCTGGGAGAGGCCTGGGAGCTCCCGCGGGGCCCGGACCCACCTGCCTCCTTCCCCACCGGCAAGGCCGCGGCGTCCCCGTTGCTACCCGCCCCGTCCGCCATCTTCTACTGGCGCCCCGGCCGGCCCCGCCCCCAGCACGGAGCTATCGCGAGAGCTCCTTCCTCGCGGGGAGGGGGCCGCTGTTGCCGCGAGCTCCGCTCTGCTCTCCGGCGCCGGCGGAGGGCACGTGACACAGGAGGCAGGGCGGGGCCTCCATGTTGGTTGCGGGCAGAGGCGGCCCGGGCGGGGTTCCCATGGCGACGGGGCGGCCTGTCGGAGGGCCCAGCTCGAGCCTGCGAAGGGCGGCGGCGTCCGCTGGCCCCAGCAGGGAGCCGAGGCTCAGCCCGGCCGCCAGGCCCCGGCCCACGGTACCCAGGCCCGTGTGCCCAACCCATCCCGCAGGCCTGGGCCTGGGCCTGGCCCGCCGGCACCCCGGAGCTGGGCTCCGCTTGGCTGGAACCGCGCGGGGCGGGAATCCCGCCGCCCAGGGCTAATGACCCCCCACCCCCAGGGCTGGCATCCTCCAGCGTTCGCAGGTCGCCCGTCGGCCCCCAAATCACCCCCCGGGCTTCAAAACGGAATGTGAGGGCCCGGATGCATTGCAGGGGGGCCTTTGTGTGGGTCCTGAACCTCTCGGCCGCATCCACTTCTTTCTGCAAGCAGGAGGGACCGAACGAAGATCACCGGGATAGAGCTGGGGGTCACTGGCAGCCTGCCTCCAGGAGCTGGAGCTTTGAGACAGATGTCAAATATCACGGGACTTGTGATAAAACTCTGAAAGTTGGCAACACTGAAATTCCCCAGCACAAGGGGTAATGCCAAATAAAACTCACACAGAATCCTCAAGAGAGAATCGGTCACCCAGCGGGAAAGGCTATAACATAAAGAAAGAGAAGGCAAGAGAAAGGCTATGATACAAACTTCCATAAACTAAAGAAAAAGTTACTTATACCACAGCAACCTAGGGGAGATGAGGCTTGTGTAGATCGTGCAGCCCTTTATATGACTGTCCCTCTTTTTCTAATCTGCTTTGATTAACAGTGGAAAAGTTAACTGTTGAAATTTAGAGCATCATTAGGCTTCAGAGTTAACACTACATTGGGATTAGGAGTTGTAATTCACACCTCAGAGCTATTACTTCAGGCTGGCTGTAGCCTCAGGCAGACCTTACTGCATTAGTTTTTGTTTGGGTCACATTTTCAAAATTGAAAAGGAGTACTTGTGGCACCTTAGAGACAAACCAATTTATTTGAGCATAAGCTTTCGTGAGCTACAGCTCACTTCATCGAATGCATACTGTGAAAACTGCAGAAGACATTATATTTTCTATTATGTTTTCTCACCACCACCCCCTCCAAAAAACACACACACAAACTCACTCTCCTGCAGGTTTTTGGAAAAAAAGGGGGGGGGGTGAGAAAACCTGGATTTGTGCTGGAAATGGCCCACCTTGATTATCATACACATTGTAAAGAGAGGTTTCAGAGGAACAGCCATGTTAGTCTGTATTCGCAAAAAGAAAAGGAGTACTTGTGGCACCTTAGAGTCTCTAAGGTGCCACAAGTACTCCTTATTGTAAAGAGAGTGGTCACTTTGGATGGGCTATTACCAGCAGGAGAGTGAGTTTGTGTGGGGGAGGGCGGAGGGTGAGAGGGCCTGGATTTGTGCTGGAAATGGCCCACCTTGATTATCATACACATTGTAAAGAGAGTGGTCACTTTGGATGGGCTATTACCAGCAGGAGAGTGAGTTTGTGTGGGGGAGGGCGGAGGGTGAGAGGGCCTGGATTTGTGCTGGAAATGGCCCAACTTGATTATCATACACATTGTAAGGAGAGTGATCACTTTAGATAAGCTATTACCAGCAGGAGAGTGGGGTGGGAGGAGGTATTGTTTCATGGTCTCTGTGTATATAATGTCTTCTGCAGTTTCCACAGTATGCATCCGATGAAGTGAGCTGTAGCTCACGAAAGCTTATGCTCAAATAAATTGGTTAGTCTCTAAGGTGCCACAAGTACTCCTTTTCTTTTTGCGAATACAAGACTAACACGGCTGTTACTCTGAAACCTGTCATTTTGAAAATTAGCTTTACTACTAGACAGTCTACTGCCTTTTTTTTAAATTAAAATTTGGATTGTGGTCTGCAGGAATCATCCAACAGGAGAAAGTGATGATCTCCCATACGCCAGCCCACAGTAGACTCCAGTTCCTTCTGCTGTACCAGGAATTAATTTAAATCCACAAAAAGAAAGAACATTCAGCAATCCAAGGTGGTAAAATCTGGACAGAACTCTTCCAAGACCCATACAAAGGACCTCATCCAGAAAAATTCACTCTGACAAAAACATTTGTATGACCAAAATCTACGAAGGAGGAGATGCCATTAAATCTATCAGACCCCACAGACTCTCCCACTACAATATAAACACAAAACTCTAGAGGAAGAAATCTTGAGGCCTGGATAATATTTCATGTATGTTTGGTTGTTTTGCAAAGCTTTAGTTTTAAACTCTTGTGCCTAGTGGAACATAAGGGAACCTATTTCTCTCACTGTTGTCTGTCCAGAGCAAGATGTTTGACTCCATCGTAAGTTGTCTCCATGATGGTTGCATCTGTTGATTGTACTGAGATAGGTTAGTCTTTGTCCTCCACGTGTTCTCCCTGCAAGTGATATCCAATCTAACATGTACCTTGTGCTTCTGTGCAGTTTGAACATTCACAATGCCACAACAGTTCAAGAATTGTAATATCCTTTGTTTAGATACAAGAATAACCTTTTTAGAATCCCTTCTCTTGTACACCTCCTCAGCTTCTCTTGCTTTATTTTCCATCTAGTGCAGTGGTTCCCAAACTGGGGTTCGAGAACCCCTGGGGGTTCACAAAATGTTACAGGGGGTTCTCGGAAAAAAAATCCCTAATGGAGGACAGAGCTCTCCATAGGGACCCTGGGCAGCATGGGGCCCGGAGCCTGGGGGACTTCCAAGAGCTAAGCAGATCAAAGCAAGCATATCTATCACACTGAGGAGATTTAAACTTCAAGACTCCTTATATGAAATAGACAGGGAGGTGGATATTTTTTGCTGTTTTTAAAATTAAATAGGCAGCTAGTGTTGTTTTTAAATTATGATGAAGAACAAGTTTAAGCTTCGTTGTAACGTGCGCTGTTTGCCTGGACTGCTCAAGACCTGACTGCTTGTGTAGGAGGAACTCTGAGTTGGCTTCTTAAATCCCTTCCTGCTGTTTCACATCTGATACTCCCTGATGAAACGTAGGAGCCAGAGGCGCCAATACCAGGGGGCAACGAGGGTCACGTGTTGCCCCCGTGTTGGCATGCCCCACCGTGGGTCACTCCCCTTTTTTTAAGGCAGCCCCGATGCCCCCCCCCACTTTTCTGGAGGTGCCCCCCCCCAGCCCCCAGGGTGCGCAGGGGCTTTGCCCCCGCACCCTTTTTTTCTACTGGTGCCACTGATAGGAGCCTTGTCTTATAACAGGCTTAATCAAAAGTGAGATCTTGGAAGAATGTTGCTGTTTTCGTAATGTAATAAAAATACTGTAATGATAAATAATAATAAATAGCGTGTAATAAGCATCTCATAAAAACAAATTTTATTTTTCCAAGATCACTGCTTTTATAATTTATGCTGAGGTAAGGGAGAAAATCCCTGGAAATATTCATTTTTAGGAAGGGGTTCACAAGACTTCACATTTGAGTGAAAGGGGTTCGCGGCTTGTTAAAGTTTGGGAACCACTGATCTAGTGCCACAGGAGAACAGAAACAGAAGGAAAACAGCATCAAAGGTTGCAGGATCTTAACGATATGCCACTCTTCAATGCCCCAGAGAACTTCAGCTTTGAGAAACCTTCACAGTGGACAGCCTGGAAGCAGGATTTTGCAAGATTTCAACTGGCAAACAAGCTTTACAAAGACACCTGAGATATACAGGTATCATCCTTAATTGATGCTATGGGGAAGCAGGCAGAGGATATCTTTAAATTCTTTTCAGAGGAACAGCCGTGTTAGTCTGTATTCGCAAAAAGAAAAGGAGTACTTGTGGCACCTTAGAGACTAACCAATTTATTTGAGCATGAGCTTTCGTGAGCTACAGCTCACTTCATCAGATGTTTACCGTGGAAACTGCAGCAGACTTTATATACACACAGAAATCATGAAACAATACCTCCTCCCACCCCACTGTCCTGCTGGTAATAGCTTAAGTTTCCACGGTAAACATCTGATGAAGTGAGCTGTAGCTCACGAAAGCTCATGCTCAAATAAATTGGTTAGTCTCTAAGGTGCCACAAGTACTCCTTTTCTTTTTAAATTCTTTGACTTTTCTGAAGACAGTCACAAAGAGGACTATGAAAGGGCTCTGGCTATGTTTGATGCCTACTTTATACCCCAGAGAAATGTGGTTTATGAAAGGAGCATGTTTTCAGCAGAGAATCCAAGAATGAGGGGAAAATGTTGAATGTTTTATAAGAGCTTTGCCTACATTGGCTGAAAACTACGATTTTGGAAATTGTGAAACACAAAAATCTTTCACAGCAGCTACAGTTGAAGACAACCTTAAGTCTAGCTACACCGATAAAGACAGCTTCAGCTGTGCTATTGTCATGCTTTAATGCAGACACTACCTATGCCATTGGGAGGGGTACTCCCATCAGTGTAGGTAATCCATCTCCCTGAGAGGCAGTAACTAGGTAATCCATCTCCCTGAGAGGCAGTAACTAGTAACTGTCTGTGACCATTTCCACAGTATGCGTCCGATGAAGTGAGCTGTAGCTCACGAAAGCTCATGCTCAAATAAATTGGTTAGTCGCTAAGGTGCCACAAGTCCTCCTTTTCTTTTTGTCTGTGACCATGTGACTCAGCAGGGAGGGGGGAGTGTTGACCTGGGAATGTGCCCTGGGGATGGGAGACCTGAGAGCCTGTCACCTGAGCCGGGAGGGGGAGGTAACACCTCTGCCCAGGAATGTGAACAGAGGCTACAGGAGAGAGCCTGCTGGGGGGGTTTATTTTCAGTTTGGGGCTGGGTGGAGGAACGCAGGGAACCCCAGGGCTGGGGTCTAAGCTCCCTGCTCCCCCAGAAGGACTTGACTGAGGGGTCCTGCTTGTACCCACAAGCTCTGTTTTGGACTGTGTTCCTGTTGTCCAATAAACCTTCTGTTTTACTGGCTGGCTGAGAGTCTCAGTGAATCCCAGGAAGAGGGGGGCAGGGCCTGGACTCCCCCACACTCTGTGACACTGTCTACAGTCGGGGTTAGGTCAGCTTAACTACAATGCTCAGGCTGTGGACTTTTCACAACCCTAAGTGACGTAACTAAGCCCACCTAATTTTTTAGTGTAGACTAGGCCTAACTTAGAAGCTGTTATTAGAGGCAGCATGAGTGCTAAAAGTCATTGTCATAAAACCCCTGAGGCAAGGTGTAACATTATTGACATGAACTGGGACGATATAGATAATTGGTGCAACCAAGGTCCTATAGTGGCACGAAATCTTGTATAAAGGGGGTCAAATAAGGTGTCTAAGACAAGGTTATGGTTTGCTGGTTATGATGATGCTGTCTGTGTGCATGTATCATATTTGTATTTAAAGTTATAAGTATTGGCTCTATCCTGTCTGTTTTCAAACTTGTGCTATGCTTCTGGGTGACACCCCAGACAATTTGGCGTCAGCACTGCCTAGCCTGCTTGATGGCCCATTAAGGACCATCAGCTATACAACTGACCCACTGAGAGAAGGCAGACATGCCTTGCAACTCAGCAAGGTATGCAGGGACATGCCTATGGACAGAACTCTAAGGTTCTTTCATGCCATGTGCTGGAATGCTTGTTCTTTGGAACAAAGAAAGAAAGACCACAGGGCAAGAGACTATAAAAGGCTGCTGAGGCTTCTCCATCTTGTCTTCAATCCTGCTTCTTGCCTCTGGAGGGACTTTGCTACAATCTGAAGCTCTGAACAAAGGTCTGAGTGACCCATCCCAGCTGTGGATGTTCTCCAGAGACTTGATTTGAACTTGCAGTTTATTCCATCTCTGATACAAGCCTGAACCAAGAACTTTGCCATCCCTGTATGTAATTGATTCCATGTAACCAATTCTAGCTCTCATCTGTCTCTTTTTCCTTTTATAAATGAACCTTTAGATTTTAGATTCTAAAGGATTGGCAACAGCGTGATTGGTAGGTAAGATCTAACTTGTACATTGATCTGGGTCTGGGGCTTGGTCCTTTGGGATCTAGAGAACCTTTTTTCTTTTACTGGGATATTAGTTTTCATAACCAGTCATCCCCATTCGTCCCCATAATGAGTGGCACTGGTGGTGATAATGGGAAACTGGAGTGTCTAAGGGAATTGCTTGTGTGACTTGTGGTTAGCCAGTGGGGGGGAGACCGAAGTCCTCTCTGTCTCTCTGGTTGGGTTTGCCTTGGTATGCAAAGGACCCCAGCCTTGGGCTATAACTGCCCTGCTTGAAGCAATTCGTCCTGAATTGGCACTCTACGTTGGGTCCCACAAAGCCAGCCTCGTTACAGCAGCATTAACAGAACACCGAACAGAAAACAAAAAGTAGAATGTCATTTTAAATTGCTCAGACTTTCATACATGGAAGTCATACAGTTTTGCTAATCATTGTCCTATACCTAGCTGGGTACTTTGGGAAGTGCTTGGTTCTGATTATCCTGATAGTTTATTGATTGCTGGGTAAATGTTTTATTTGCCCTCAAAAGTCTTTTTTTTTAAATGGGTAAGTAAAAATCTAACCCCATTGTGCCACTTTGGCACAGGAAAAAAGTGAGAAAGCACATAGATCTTCCTAGCTGATTCCCTTACTGTCATTTATAAGGCTTTACATCACCCTGGCAATGTGGAGGCCTTAAAACTTTTATAGGTTTTTATGCTCCTGGGGGAATTAATTGACTGAGAATGGGAACAGTTAACTAACAATAGAATAATTAACAATGTTACTATGCAGACAGGTTGCTACATTTCTGCCTCAGAGAATGAGATCAATTAACCATCAACAGCAACATTAACAAAATGTGTCTGGTTTTTTTTACAAATGCTATTTTCTTTAACTTAAAAACAAACAATTTTCAGTCACATGATACCAATATTTAATTAACTCTTTTTTCAGTTTTCAAGAAGTTACAGTTTACTAGGCAGGAAGGCTGCTACACTTCTGCCTCGGGGACAGAGCCTTCCTCCTGCATAACAAAAAGACCTACCCTCCTCCACTCCCCTGCAACCGCAGTATCAAGAGAGAGGGACAGAGGCTGTGTCTACATTGCCACTTTCAGCACTAAAACTGTAGTTGTTCCGGGGTGTGAAAAAACACCACCCGAGCGACAAAAGTTTGAGCATTAAAAAGCATCAGTATAGCGCGCTCCCAGTAATAAAGCTACCACCGCTTGTTTGGGGTGGGTTTTTTTATCGCCAGGAGAGCTCTCCCCATGCGATAACGTGTGTCTACACTGCCCACCTCACAGGGCTGCTGCGGCCGTGCTGTAACGTGGGCAGTGTAGACATACCCAGAGTCTCTCTCGCTTGTTGGTCAGCCGCGGCCCCCTGACGGCGATCAACGTCTCCCCCACAAGCACGCACGCTGAGCCCCCCCTCCCCCGGCAGTGATTTGCGTCTCTGAAGCTGCTCCAAGCACACTGGAACAGACACACTGCCTGGGCTGCCGGAGAAGAGACACGTGGCCCCCTGCAGATTTCTTTTGCGTTTTTCTGTGCGGGGGGCACAGAAATATTCGGGCCATATGACTTCTGTGCCTCCGCATGGGCGCAGAATTCTGTCAGGAGTAAAACAGGCATACATGGTGAGGCATACAAACAGCCAGATGGAGACAGTTAGTTCATATGCTACCCTTTGGTGGACTTTTATGTAGATATCTGACCCAGTGGATCCCTGTAAACCCCCAGGCACCCCTCTGTGCCCCCTGCCAATGGGCACTAAGGGATCTCTGTGTCACACAACTCATTAACAACACTACCTGACAATGTAATTCAACTTACTGTACTAGACGGGAGTAGTCTGGGGCCAACCATAATGGCAGGTTATACCAACTGGGGTAAAACCCACCAGAAATTCAGAACCTGGCATTCTGCAAATGAGTCCTGTTTATATGCAGGAACTTACCCAGCAATGCCTGCAAAACAGAACTTGGGCAGTTTTCTCTGTTAATTATTGTACAACAAAAAGCCACTCACTTTCTAGAATCATCTCAATTAAAGCAACACACTCTATCTGTTATAAAGCACTAGCTGCACTCCCAGCCCTCAGTAATATGGACTGCAAGAGCCAGACAAACTAGTTTACTCAGAACCAAATTGATCTCTCTTTGTATGGACGCATTAAGAGACTGGGGGTGTTCCGTGTGCAGTTCTCATCACTCCATCTCAAAAAAGATATATTGGCATTGGAGAAAGTACAGAGAAGGGCAACAAAAATGAGCAGGAGTCTGGAATAGCATCCATACAAGGAAAGTTTGAAAACACTGGGACTGTTCAATATGTAAAAAAAGAGATGACTAAGGGGGGATATGATGACAGAGGTCTACAATATCATAGCTGGTGTGGAGAAAGTGACTAGGGAAGTATTATTTACCTCTTCACATAACACGAGAACCAGGGATCATCCTAGGATATTAAGAGGCAGCAGGTTTAAAACAAACCTAACGAAGCATTGCTTCACCCAACACACAGTGAACCTGTGGAACTCCTTGCCACAGGATGTTGTGACAGCCAAAAGTATAACTGGGTTCAAAAAAGAACCAGACAAGTTCCTGGAGGACAGGTCCACCAATGGTGCTCGCCCCGATGGTCAGGGAGGCAGCCCCCCTGCTCTGGGTGTCCTGAGCCTCGGGCGGCCAGAAGCTGGGACTGGACGACCAGGGATGGATCACGCCATAAATCGCCCTCTCCTGCTCATCCCCTCACCCGCACCTGGCAGCGGCCCCGGGCTAGACGGGCCCTGGGCCTGACCCACGGTGCCCCTCGTAAGGCTGTGACGGGCTTGCCCCGGGCCGCAGTGCTGCCAAGCCATAGCCACGGTGGGTCCGGACAGTGGGCGCGGCCATCTCCCAGGACCCTGTCTGGGGCGAGGGGCGGTGCTGGGAAACCAACCCACGAACCGGGCAGGAGGGAAAGGGCCAACTCCTGGCAAACGGCTCCTCTCTGCCCGGAGGCAAGATGGCGGCACAGGCCTCACCCGGGGTCACATGGGAAAGGGCCACCGCGTGATCCCAACGGGAGGACGCCACCGCCATGTTGAAGGAGGGCAGAGGGCAGTGAGGCCGCCGCCGCCAGCTTGAGTGTGGGCAGCGGGCCCGCTGATCGCGGCGGGCGAGTCGCTTCGGGCCGCGGGAGGGAGAGGAGACGCCGCCCTCGCGCTGCCAAGCGGGCCGGGAGTGGGAGGGGCTCCGGCCTGCGGGAGCCACTGGGCCCGGTGAGTAACGTGCCCCCGCCCCGCTGGGTGCCCCTCCCCGCCTGACCCCCCCCGCCCCTGGGTGCCCCTCCTCGCCTGACCCCTCCCCCTCCCGGTCTGGCCCCCGCCCGCCCTGCTGGGTGCCCCTGCCCCTCCCCGCCTGACCCCCCCCACTCTGCTGGGTGCCCCTGGCCCTCCCCCTCCAGGCCTGACCGCCCCCACCCCGCTGGGTGCCCCTCCCCGCCTGCCCCCCCCACTCCGCTGGGTGCCCCTGCCCCTCCCCCTCCAGGCCTGACCCCCCCGCCCCGCTGGGTGCCCCTGCCCCTCCCCCTCCCCGCCTGACCCCCCCCGCCCCTGGGTGCCCCTCCTCGCCTGACCCCTCCCCCTCCCGGTCTGGCCCCCGCCCGCCCTGCTGGGTGCCCCTGCCCCTCCCCGCCTGATCCCCCCCACTCCGCTGGGTGCCCCTCCCCGCCTGACCCCCCCCACACTCTGCTGGGTGCCTCTCCCCCTCCCCCTCCCCGCCTGACCCCCCCCCGCCCCGCTGGGTGCCCCTCCCCCTCCCTGCCTGACCCCCCCCACTCTGCTGGGTGCCCCTGGCCCTCCCCCTCCCGGCCTGACCACCCCCGCCCTCTGGGTGCCCCTGGCCCTCCGCCTCCCGGCCTGACCACCCCCGCCCCTCTGGGTGCCCCTGATCCCCCCACTCCGCTGAGTGCCCCTCCTCTCCGCTCCCCGCCTGACCCCCCCACACTCTGCTGGGTGCCTCTCCCCTCCCCCTCCAGGCCTGACCGCCCCCACCCCGCTGGGTGCCCCTCCCCGCCTGACCCCCCCACACTCTGCTGGGTGCCTCTCCCCTCCCCCTCCAGGCCTGACCACCCGCACCCCGCTGGGTGCCCCTCCCCGCCTGACCCCCCCACACTCTGCTGGGTGCCCCTGCCCCTCCAGGCCTGACCGCCCCTCCCCGCTGGGTGCCACTGCCTTTCCCCCTCCCCGCCTGACCGCCCCTGCCCCGCTGGGTGCCCCTCCCCCTCCTAGAATGCGTGCCCCCCCCAGCGTGCCCCGGAGGGTGCCCCAAACCACTCCCTCCACATTACCAGGGGGAGGAAGGGTCATAGCAAGAGACTGTAAGACCCTGTTCGGGGATGGAGCTCTTCGGGGTTAGCTGGGTCTCCGGGCCAGCCTTGTCCAATACCCCTAGCCCAGCCCTCTGGGAACCTGGTTGGTTTTATGTGAACACTTAGGCCCCTGTCCTGCAGGAGAGCCTGGGCCAGCGAGTCTCTACCAGAGCACAGGGTCCTCCCCACAGAGAGCTCCTGGCAGGATCAGGGCCTTAAAGAAGTGCTGTCTAGTGGGTTAGTGACAGGCCTGGGACTCCGGGCTCCTGGGTTCTAGTCCTGCCTCTGTGACTGACCTGCTGCGGGCGATGCTGGCCTTCTTGGCCCCATCTCCCGAGATGCCGTGGGCAGCTCCCACTGGCTTCAGTGGAACCGGTGTGTGCTCAGCACTGCAGGAAATCAGGCCTCTCTCTGGGACTCATCAAGCGGTGGAATTAAATAATGGCTGGAAAGAGCCCCAAGACCTCTAGGCAGAAGAGGCTAGAGAAGGGCCTCATGTGGAATTAGCCCATGTGGTGGTTAGTCCATGGTGCTGATTGTGAGCAACGTGTATCATTCCTGAAGGAAGGGAGCGTTTATAAAGCAGCAGCCCGTGTCTCAGACCTCTCAGAAACTTATCTGTGGATGGGAGTCATTCATTTTTGGCCTCATTTTTCAAGCATTTTTAAGCTGTCACAACTTGGCAGGTCTGTAGCTGCAGTATCAAGATTTAGAATTATCCTGTCATTAATTGTTTTCTGATTCATCAAAATGATAGATGGGGAGAGAGAGAGTGACAAATAGTCACCAGTTGAGGATCTTCAAGGGTTCCCCTAAAAATGTTATGGGTGGAAAGAAGCATGTGTGAGTTATCTCATTACTGGGTAACCTTTGCTGTTGGAACATTTAGAAGAAGATGTTCTTAGCATCCAAAGATAAACAAGTGGGTGACTGGAAAGCTAGATGCGAGCCACTTTGCACAAGTCCTAGTAATGACAGGTTTCAGAGGAACAGCCGTGTTAGTCTGTATTCGCAAAAAGAAAAGGAGTACTTGTGGCACCTTAGAGACTAACCAATTTATTTGAGCATGAGCTTTCGTGAGCTACAGCTCACTTCATCAGATGTTTACCGTGGAAACTGCAGCAGACTTTATATACATACAGAGAATATGAAATATATGAATATGAAATTACTAGTAAGTAATTCATTCAAGCAAATAGCAGTACCTCAGTTACCAGCAGTTGTCCCCTCTGAGAGATCACTGATACATGCTTCCTTTTTTGCCTTGTTCACTTAGTGTGTTTTGTACAGACGCTCTCTCTGCCCCCTCAGCCCCTTTATTTTCAGCCCTGTGGTGGGAGTTGTGTGGGTAAAGCTCTGTGCATCTATTTTGGCGAATGTCAGGGATAAGTAAATTGTCGGACCGCCAGCTGATGCTTCTAAGTGATCCCTTATCTAATGTGGTGCAGCATGCAGAAGGTGCCTTACACAATCGGAAGGGAGTTAGGGACCAGTGTGGACGTTTGCCTTGTTTCCCTGGTAAATCTAGGTTTACAATCAGATTCCCCAAATACACAGTTGAAAGGATTCAGACAACAGTGACCAAAGGTCTGTTTGGTGCTGCTTCTGTCCATCATCCCAAAGGGCTTGCTCTGTGCATGTCTTTCCTCTGATAAGGCTCCTCCCCCACTATAATGGAATCTCAGAAGTTCTGTATGAGGGTAGTTGCCTGCATTCACGAGGTGTGTGTCTGGTGCAGGGGAGGGAACAGAAGAGCAGAAAGAAGGGAAAGGATAAGAAGGAATCTCCAGCCATGCCCACATGTAGCTCAGCTGGAGCAGGACAGCTTTGTCTTTCAAGAGCTAACACCCTTCCACATGCTGCAGGATCTTGTTGGGAGCCCTGTTTTATTTCTCAGTAGCAGACAAACAGGAATTTATTGATTGTGCCTTGACAGTTGCAGTCACTTTTAAAATCAATGCATAGAATCGATACGGCACTTTTCATCTTCGAAGGGCCTCCCAAACCTTATTCCTAGATTGGAAGGCCAGGAGGGACCATTGCGATCATTTCATAGAACTGTAGAATCGAAGGACTGGAAGGGACCTCAAGAGGCCATCGGGTCCAGTCCCCTGTACTCATGGCAGGACCAAGTATTGTCTACCAGTGTTTCTCAAATGCAGCCACTAGGCCATTTTCTTGCAGCCACAGCCTCCTGGGCGGGGGGCGCAAAGCAGTGTCCCCTCTCCCAGGGCCGCCAGCAGCGGTTGGACCCTGCCCCCCTCCAGAGACACAAACACTGGCGGTGCAGACAGCTGGTGGATTCCCCACTTTCCCAGGGGCAGGGGAGACAGGCTTTAGCTACAGGGCTTCGGGCTCCATCCACACAGTGGCAGGCTCTGGTTCCAGGCTCCAGCCTCAGGCTCGCCACCCCTGCCATTTTCCCTGTGTCCCGCTGCCTCCCTGCCCACCTCCCCATCCAGGGCTTAATTTGTCCCAGTGCTTGCAAGGGCTGAGTAAATCTGCTGTGAAAAGTGATATTAGCAAACATACAGATATCACTTTTCACAGCAGAAGACTTACCAGCTAGCAAGTTTTAGAAGGAAAAAAGTGCAACCAGAAAAGCAAAAGAAACAACAACAAAAAGACAAGAACATGCAAAGCGCCTTATTTCTGTTTCTGTTCTGTTTTGGTCCAGTAAAGAATAGAGTCAACTGTAAATTATTTTTACTACTGAGTCTAAAAAAACCCTACATAAATAAATTACGGTGGTTTGGACATGTTTTTGTGCATATTTATTTGTTTTTCTTAAAGTTAATCAAGTATTTTAGGAAAAATTGTCAGCACGGCCATCAGCAACAGTTGGTGGCCACAGTCTGAGGCCACCAAAAATTTTGTTGTAAGAACCCCTAGTCTAGAGCAGTGGTTTTCAAACTTTTTTCTGGGGACCCAGTTGAAGAAAATTGTTGATGCCCGCGACCCAACCGTGGGGTTGGGGGTTCAGGAAAGGGTTCCGGGTTGGCGGGGGCCCAGGGCTGGGGCAGGGGATTGCGGTGTGGGGTTGGGGCGCGGGCATACCTCCCGTGGCTCCTGGTCAGTGGCACAGCTGAGATGCAGAGACAGGCTTCCCACCTGTCCTGGCACCATGGACCATGCTGCGCCCCAGAAGCATCCAGCAGCAGGTCTGGCTCCCAGGCAGAGGCGCGCAATTGGCTCCACATGGCTCTTGCCCGCAGGCACCGCCCCCCAGTGTGGAGCCGGTGCTCGGGGTGGGGGCAGCGTGCAGAGCCCCGTGGCTCCTCTGCCTAGAAGCTGGCCCGGTCGGTGGTGCTGACCAGAGCTGCTAGGGTCCCTGGGAGCTGAGCAAGGCAACCCAATGCCTTTCATGCCGCGACCCAGTACTGGGTCATGATCCGAACTTTGAAAAACACTGGTCTAGACCATCCCTGACAGGTGTTTGTCTGAACTGCTCTCAAAAATCTCCAAAGATGGAGATTCCACAACCTCCCTAGGCAATTTATTCCAGTGCGTAACCACCCTGACAGTTAGGAAGTTTTTCCTAATATCCAATCTAAACTGCCCTTGCTGCAATTGAAGCCCATTGCTGCTTGTCCTGTCCTCAGAGGTTAACAAAAACAATTTTTCTCCCTCCTCCTTGTAACAACTTTTTATGCACTTGAAAACTGTTAACACTCATGTTCCCCCCTCAGTCTTCTCTTCTTTAGTGTGACCTCCTCCTGTATAATAGAGGCTCTAGAACTGCCCCAAATAATTCTAGAGCAAATCTTGTGGGAAAACATCCAATCTTGATTTAAAAATTGTTAGTGATGAAGAATCCACCATGACCCTGTGTAAACTGTTCCAATGGTTAATTACCCTCCCTGTTAAAAACGTACACTTTATTTCTAATATGAATTTATGTAGTTTCCC